CCAATTATTTACATGTTATAAACCAAATTAAAGAAGACCTTAATTTGACCTTTTTTGTTGTTGTTATTCTGTTTTTTTATTTTTATTTTTATTTTTAGTAGAGACGGGGTTTTACCATGTTGGCCAGGATGGTCTCGATCTCTTGACCTCGTGATCCGCCTATCTTGACCTCCCATAGTGCTGGGATTACAGGCGTGAGCTACCGCGCCCGGCCTAAATTTTACATTTAAGTCCTTCCTTAATCTGACTTCAACCTGCTTTTCTGTTATTTTCTCTCACAGTCTGCTACAGTATACCAGTTATTTTTCTCTAACACCAACAGTACTTTCCTACCTCTTTGCATTGTTCACCATTTTCTTTTTACCTAAAATGCATCTCATTTTTCCTATTGTAATTCTGTTAGTCTTTCAGTTTATTTTTTCTCTTTTGTTTTCATTTGAATATTTAGGTATCAAATAAAATATGCTCATAGATTGTTAAAATGCTCATAGATTGTTAAATACTCTCACTTTTTACTTTATTTTTTTTCAAAATACTTTAAATATAAATTTTGAATAGATAATATATTCATGTGATGCAAAAATTAAACAATTAAAAATGAATCAAAACTAAACACTTCTGCTCTTTGAAAGACACTGTTAAGCAAATGAAAAGACAAGACACAGATGAGGAAAAATATTTGCAGAATGCACATCTAATAAAACATTTATATCCAGGATCTGTAAATAATTCATACAACTCAATAAAAAGAAAACAACACAATAAAATGGGCTAAAGATTTGAATAGACATTTTATCAAAGAAGAGATACAAATGGCAAATAAGCATATTAAGAGATGGTAAATGTCATTAGTTATTAGGGAAATGCAAATTAAAACCCTGGCAAGATACCACTACGTATCAATTAGAATGGTTAAAACAAAAACCATACAATACTAAGTGCTGATCAGGGACCGAAATCATTGGTTGTCAGAGACTAGGGGTGGGAGGGATTGACTCAAAGGAGCATTAAGGAAACTTCTTGGAGTGATGGAAATATTTGATATCTTAATTGTGGTGGTAGTTACATGACTTTATATCTTAGTCAAAACTTAGAGTTTTGAGAGTGTATATGTAAAGTGTGAATTTTACAGTAAGTAAATTATACCTCACTAATTAAAAGTTAAGTAAATTAAACCTGACTTGAAAAGAAATTAAAAAGTAAACAGTGAAATCTCCATTTCACCTCTGCCTATTCCAAATTTACTCAATTCTTGTACTGTCTCTGATTCTTACCCCTACTCCCTACATTCATCTTTAGGTGGCTATACTGTTATTAGCTTCTTAATGTGTTCTTCCAGAATTTCTTTATTCACACACAATAAATACAAATGAACATTCTTATTTTTCCCTTTTTGATTCAAAATCTAGCATGATATACATTTTATACTGTTATTTTTTTCCCTTGACAGTGTATCCAGATGATCTTTCCATGTTGGTGTATAGAACTTCCTCTTTATTTTTTTCTTTTAGATAGGATCTTGCTTTGTCACCCAAGCTGGAGTGGAGTGGCACAATTGAAGCTCACTACACCCATGGCTCAGTGGTCCTCCTACTGCATCCTCCCAAGTAGCTGGGGCTATAGATGTGTGCCACCATGCCCAGCTAATTTTTTTTTTTTTTTAAGAGATAGGGTCTCACTATGTTGCCCAGGCTGGTCTTGATCTCCTAACCTCAAGTGATCCTCCTGCCTTAGCCTCCCAAAGTTCTGGAATTATAGGCATGAACTACTATGCCTGGTCCCTCTTTTTTTTTTTCTTTTTTTTGGCAGCTTCAAAGCGTATTCCATTATTTGGGCATTCTATAGTTTATTTAATCAATGTCTCCTATTGGCAGATATTTAGGTTGCACTAATCTTTTGCTATCACAAACACTGATGGTAGTGAATGACTTTGTACATCCACTATTTTTGTACAAATACAAGTATATCTGTGAGATAAATTTCCAGAAGTGAAATTGTGGGACAAAGTGAATATATGTATTTACAATTTTGATAAATATTGCCAAAGTGCCATCAATTGAGGAAGTTTCAAGAGATTATTTGTTTCAAGACCCTGTAAAGTGCTGCCTATTCTTAAGACTTGTCCTTCTTCCCTCCTACTACATGGAACTAATCCTTACCACTCCTGAGTGTTTATATCTCATTGTGCTTCACTAATGGTATTCATCATTATCTGCTTTAAATTGGAATAATTTGCATATGTGGTAGTTTTTCCTCTGTTGGGTTTGAGTTGTCTTTACTACATTTAATAAGGTAATTGAATTTCCTTGATCTGATATTATTTCCTTTTTTTATTATTAGAATTAGATATGCAAACATATTATTTATTTGACTACTTATGTCAAGATTTCTCTAAACAGTGGATTTCTCTTTACCTCTATTTCAGTCTTTCCGTGGCAGAAGTAAGGTCAGAGCCAGGCCATGGAAACTCTTAAGTAGAAAGAGTCTCTTGGGCTTGTCTTGGCTAGAATCCATCAGGGAGAAGCCTAGATGCCCAATCAACCGTGGACTAGGTTGCAGAATGTGATAATAAGTCTGGAGATTTTCATTCTGACAGTTACTAGAATGAAAATAATTGGGCAAAATTACATAACACAAAAAAAATTTATGTTAGCTGAAGGCTCTTGTCAGTTAATGAATAAAAGTATAACCTCTGAAATGTCATTTACCAAAAAAGATTCAGAGTAGACTTTCATATATTTTCTTAGACATTGTCTTCTAAAAAGAGAACTCTAAGCTTAGTTCCATCAACCAAATTGAGAATATTAGGTATTCCTGTTAATCATGATGTCTTAGGAAAATATTGAGATCCATCCACTGACTGTAATTGTCAATGAAAATAACGGGGAGTTTTTAAAGATTGCAGGAACTTTTGATTATTGAGACTTGCCATTAAATAGAGACTATTTTAGAATAGTTGTCTTAAATATAAAACAAAAGTAAAGGGAAAAAGTATTTAGTAAAGGAAGAAGTGAAATGGCTAACTTGATTAAACACAGATCACCCAAATGAGCCAATGGAGGAAGAACACATAGATTGTTTATGTTATGCAATAACATATGACTAAATGATTCTGGTAAGGATTTTAAAAAATAAGACTTAATGCCATCTTTTCTGACTACAAAAGTAATACATGTTAATTGAGGAAAGTTTGAAATTACTTAAGAAAAAAAAATAAAAGTTATACTAATGGAAAGTTTGGCTATGATCATTTTCAAGTTTGTCAGTTTTCATATTGAGCTACAGTGCCACCCACGAATCATCAGGATACAGACTTGATTCTTGTGGAGCAGTAGAACAGAGACAATGTCGACAGACCTTAGTTGATGTCTGGTTTTATTATTTACTGATTTTTGTATCTTTAGACAAGTTACATACCTCTCAGAGCCTGTATCTATGTTTGTAAAATGAACAAGACAAAGACCTTGCCCACAAGGGGTTAAATTCCATGGACTAAAAGAAGACAGGTAATAAACAAATTAAAATAGATTAACCCTATGTGGTGGCGTACTCCAGTAGTACCAGCTACTTGGGAGGCTGAGGCAGGAGGATCACTTTAGCCCAGGAACTTGAGGCTACTGTGAACTATGATTATACCACTGCATTCCAGCCCGGGCCACAGAGCGACCTCATCTCCTAAAAAAAAAAAAAAAAGTCTAAACAAATGGGCAATAAACAGAATAAGAATATAAATAAAATTGGCTGGGCACAGTGGCTTACACCTGTAATCTCAGCACTTTGGGAGGCTGAGGGGGGCGGATCACGAGGCCAGGAGTTCAAAACCAGCCTGGACAGTATGGTCCTGTCTCTACTAATAATACAAAAATTAGTGGTGTAGTGATGCATGCTTGTAATCCCAGCTACTCAGGAGGCTGAGGCAGAAGAATAGCTTGAACCCGGGAGGTGGAGTTGCAGTGAGCTGAGATTGCATGACTGCACTCCAGCCTGGGCAACGGAGCAAGACCCCATCTCAAAAAAAGAAAAAAAGAATATAAATAAAATTGATTTAGGTGTAGTAAAGAAAGGTGTTATAAGAAAGAAATAAAGCAGAGTAAAAGAGTAGAGTGGAACTACAGATGGGGGGAGTAGTATTTTAGATTACAGTGATTAAGGAAAGTTTTTTTGAGGAAATGACATTTGAGCAGAAGCCTTAAAATGGAGTAGAAGAGCCAGCCACTGGAGGGATTCAAGGAGCTGGCATTCCAACTAGAGAAAATAGTGTTCACTGTGTTGAGCTAAACAAAAATTAGTCATAAAAGAAATCATGGTAAATCCACTGTGGAAGAAGACAAATGCCAGATTATGAAAAGTCTCATAGGCTAAGTAAAGAGCTTGGATTTTATTCTAAGTTGAGTTCTTCGAGGACTCGTATTGGACAAGGATCATATATTTTCATGTTGGTGTTATTTCTAGTATGTGGCACGTACTAATTTCCCAATAACTTGAATTTTTAATACATGAATTATATATGAAGGTAGGGTACAAGTTGCCACCACCTTTAAATTGAGTTCGAATGAAATAGCCAAGATATGAAGAGCTTGGTATCTTAGTTTGCTTAGTGATTCCTTACCAACTATATGTTTTATTTGAATACAGAACCTGAATATTAATGTATATACTAAGATGCTTTTCATGATTATGGGTATTTGAAAGCATTTAATGTTTTCTAATATACAGAGTTGTATAGATGTCATAAATGCCTCTGTATTTTAAAATATAGGTAGGAAAAAACTAGGCTGAAAATTAAAATTTATCAGTTTTTTTTTAAGGTGTGATTTAGAGATATTCTCTCTAGTTTCTTCATAGTTAAAAGTAATTTCATAGTTAAAAGTTAGAAATTATATAGTGTTTTATTGTGACAATAAAGGACATGTTTCTTCCATTTACTTCATCGGTTCAAGTGTGCTGAATGTATTACTATTTGAAGCTCATTTATTATTCTTTGCATGGCTGTGTTGTAGCCTCGAGCTGTGGCAGGGTTTCGAGGGACAGTTCGTTATGCATCAGTCAACGCTCATCGGAACAGGGTAGGTATCTGAACTAGAGTCATATATGTATAAGTATGCCAGTACCTTAAATCAGATTGACTTCTTTATAAAGTAAAAAGATGTGGAAAGTGCTTGAGAGTTGAGGATCTCTTTAATAGCTACAAAGTTACTTGGAATGTTTGTTCTAATTCATTCTTGTGTGGCATCGGTGGTAAAGGAGTTGGTAATATGAATGTACAGTAAAGTGTATAGTGGATAACAGATACATGCAGCTGCTTGGAAAATAAAATTAGATTTGTCAGAAAAGACAGTAGCTGAGTATATTTCTGTGGGGAATCTGTGTCCTTAATGAGATACAAGTATTAACAAATTTAATTTAGAACTTTGGGAGGCTGAGGTGGGCGGATCATGAGGTCAGGAGTTCAAGACCAGCCTGACCAACATGGTGAAACCCTGCCTCTACTAAAAATACAAAAATTAGCTGGGCGTGGTGGCGCGTGCCTATAGTCCCAGCTGCTCAGGAGGCTGGGGCAGGAAAATCGCTTGAACCCAGGAAGTGGAAGTTGTGGTGAGCTGAGATTACGCCACTGCACTCCAGCCTGGGTAACAGACCGAGACTCCCTCTAAAAAAATAAAATAAAATATATATATATGACATTGAACATCTGTGTACTATTTCCAGAAATTATTTGGGAATATAATACTATCAATACCTAATGAAATGTGGGACTCAACGTTTTATCTGTAATATGTATCTAATCTTTGATATCCCTCTTCCCACCAAATCTTTTGTTTTCATGAAGAGTTCAAGTACAGTTTTACAGTTTTCATTTTAATAAATTATCCTTTTCCTCTTCAGTTAAATTTTAAAAATCTCTCCCCTCACCCCTTACTTTGGTCCTTTTGTTCTGTGCCAACTTTCTCTCCCTCATCCTGAACTTTAATTATGAGCAGAAAAAAATGGGCATTTTTATGGATAATCAATCCTTTAACCTGTTTGCATGGAGTTCAGAAATTTAACAAGTGATTCCTTGATAGAATAGGGTAAAAGTATTTTTTTTTTTTGAGACGGAGTTTCGCTCTTGTTACCCAGGCTGGGGTGCAATGACGCGATCTTGGCTCACCGCAACCTCCGCCTCCTGGGTTCAGGCAATTCCCCTGCCTCAGCCTCCTGAGTAGCTGGGATTACAGGCACACGCCACCATGCCCAGCTAATTTTTTGTATATTTTTAGTAGAGACGGGGTTTCACCATGTTGACCAGGATGGTCTCTATCTGTTGACCCCGTGATCCACCCGCCTTGGCCTCCCAAAGTGCTGGGATTATAGGCTTGAGCCACCGTGCCCGGCCCGGGTAAAAATATTTTTTCTTGATACTTTTCTTTCCTTGTTCCTGTTCTGATAAGCCAAAATTGCTTTAATGAGAACTTGACCAATATATAATAGGAAGAGTAAGTATACTGTGGTCTTACATAGTATGCTCCAATTAATCTGGTTTCTTATGGCATGATTATAAATTGAAAATAGTAAAGTTGTTTTTCTCAGTGTGTAGCACCCTGGCAAGCATTTAAACCTATTTGGTTTGATTCAGTGTTGCTTTCCTTTATGATACCTGGTTATTTTCTTTGCCTTGAAAAGAAGTTTTCTTCTTTTCCTGATAGAGTCTTATAAAAGTTTAGAAATACTAGGTTTTTCAAATAATTTTATTAAAGAATTATGTCAACATTGGAATCTGTGAAAATGTATTATTTTTAAGATGAGCATAAGTATTTTCAGAGATCATAATAGCTATATAAGCATTTTCAATATAGCGAACAGAAAGAGAGTATATGCTTTTATTGTTTTAATTTACAAAGCGGAGATTTCTTCTAAAAGCCTTTCCAGTGTAGAGTGCTCTAACAGTTACTTTTATAACTTGGTTATTTGTTACTCATCTAACCTTTTGGAGGAATTTTATAGTATATAGAAGTGGTTCTTAATCCTCTTTTCTGCTCCCAGCACACCTGATGGGTAGAATGCTTTTACACAGCAACATAGTTCACAGTGATTGTTAGGTTATGAGGTGATGCAGGAGTGCAACTCTTGGAACCTCATTGCTTGTCTAATCTTAAAAGGATTCCCAGATAATTCTAACATGCTTCTTTTTTTCCATATTCTGCAACCCTGATTTGATAATATCTAAAAATAACACACTCCATTTCTCTTTTTCTGGCTTCTTAAACTTTATTTTTTAGAGAGCAGGTTCTTGTTCTGTTGCCCAGGCTGGAGTAAAGAGGCAGGATCTTAGCTTACTATAGGATCTTACCTTGAACTCCTGGGCTCAAGTGATCTTCCTGCTTCAGCCTTCTGAGTAGCTAGGACCACAGGTGCATACCACCATACCTGGCTATTTTTTTAATTTTCTGTATTGACAGGCTTGCTACATTGCCCAGACTAGTCTTGAACTCCTGGCCTCAAGGAGTCTTCTAGCCCCGCAAAGTGCAAGGATTACAGGTGTGAGCCTCCATGCCTTGCTAAATCTTAAACTTTTAACATAAATAATTCTTAATACAAAGAATTTTAAAAACACTTGAACCCTGTCATGCTGCCTTATTGCTGTTTTATATTTTAATCTTATTAATATTTACGTCAGTACTTTGAAAAAATTGCTTTCTTCTGCTCCTTGGGTCACTGTTGAGAAAATCTTTGTTCCTTTATTTGTGTTACTTTGTATTTAATTTGTCTTTAAAAAAAAAATTTTTTTTTTTTGAGATGGAGTCTTGCTTTGTTGCCAGGCTAGAGTGCAGTGGTGCAATCTCGGCTTACTGCTACCTCCGCCTCCTGGGTTCAAGCGATTCTTCCGCCTCAGCCTCCCGAGTAGCTGGGACTACAGGCGCGAGCCACCACACCCGGCTAATTTTTGTATTTTTAGTAAAAACGGGGTTTCATCATGGCGAGGATGGTCTCGATCTCTTGACCTTGTGATCCGCCCGCCTCAGCCTCCCAAAGTGCTGGGATTATAGGCGTGAGCCACCGCGCCCGGCCTAAAATTTTATTTTATTTTTTGAGAGAGTCTTGCTCAGTTGCCGAGGCTGGAGTATACTGGCATTATCTCAGTTCACTGCAGCCTCAACCTCCTGGCTCAAGCAATCCTCCCACCTCAGCCTCCTGAGTAACTGGGACCACGGGCATGCGCCACCACACCTGGATAATTTTTGTATTTTTTTTGTAGAGATAGGGCTTTACAATGTTACCCAGGCTAGTCTTGAACTCCTGAGCTAAAGCAATTCACCTGTCTCAGCTTCCCAAAATGCTGGGATTACAGGCATGAGCCACCGTGCCTAGCCAATTTGTCCTTTTTATTTTAATACTTTTGGTGTCTTCTCTGTTTTGGAGTCCTATGTTCAAATATGCCTAGGTGTGGATTTTTAAATATTTATCTGTTTGGGATTTGATGTATTTCCTAATTGAAATGTTCATGTCTTTCCTCGATTCTGGAAGATTCTTATATTCCCCTTTTCCCTTTCTCTTTATATCCTTTTTCCCAGAGGGCCAAATTGATGTATTAGACTTTCTTAGATTTTCTTATTTCTCATTTTCTTATTTACCAGATTTTCTAATTATTTGTGTCTCTGTGCTGCATTCTAGATAATTTCTTCAGATCTGTTTTCCAAGTTGATTTTTGTCTGCAGTGTTTCATGAGCTTTTAATTTCTATGATTGTGCTTTTTATTTCTAGATGTTCTTTTTAGTCATTTTTCAAATCTGGTTGGGTTTTGGTTCATTTTTATTGAATATAGTTATTTTTCACTGACTTTGACTCCATTTTTTTAACATTTTAAATATTCTTACTTTGTATCTTATAATTCTATTTCTGAAATCCTTGGATACTTTTTTCTGCTCTTTGTAGCTTCTTTTGACATTAATTTATTAACATGTTTTATAAATTTGAATAATGAACATATGTTTGGTGAGGCTTTTACTATAGTACTTCTATGAGGTCTGAATTTAGGGATGTATTTATCCTGAGAGGATAAATTTAATTCTGTCATTCCAGCAGGGCATGATTACTCAGAAGCCAATTTCAAGTTAATTTCTGGGCTTGGTTTTTCACGCCACGCAAGTACATATTTAACCCCCAACTCTAAATGAGGGGCAGGCCTATGGTAACAGACTCTCAGGGCAATTTTTTAAAAACCCATTTTTTTTTCTTTGATAGCAGTTAACTTTTACAGAAAACAATTATTACAGTATATACCAAATACTACACCAAGGATGTAACCCTTTTAGGGTCCTAGCTTTATGGTGGAGGTGGGGTATATCTCGGTTACAACTCCTGTCCTATATAGGCACAATGCCTTTACTCCTGTCCCCTTCCTGGTTGATAAACTCATGACAGATTCCTCCAGAGCAGCCAAAACTTCAGCATCATCTTGCTTCCCTTATTTCCACCTTTTAAAAAAATAGCTTTTAAGAGTTCTCTTTCTTCTAAATGAATACATTAACTAATGGACTGTTATGTCATTGCTAGCATTTCTATGTTTTGAGGTGTTCTTTACTTCAAAAGGTTTTTCAGTTCATATATTCTGCCAAATAGATTGCTATGTAGCTATGTAAATTTATAGATATATTTACCATATAATTTTTTTGAGAAATAAGTTTACATTTTTCACCTAATAAGGTAAGCAAAATGGTTAGGTCTTGACCAATGTAATGTACTCACAAATGATAGTAATGTAATGTGACTGACTTCTGTTTTCTTTATGAAGGAAATGGGAAGACATGATGACCTTTGGTCCTTATTCTACATGTTGGTGGAATTTGTGGTTGGTCAGCTGCCTTGGAGAAAAATAAAGGACAAGGTAATTTTGGGAATGGGGATGTCAATTTTGTTGGAAGAAATAAAAATTTCTCCTGAATAAACATTTTGTTGAAAATATACTCATATATAAGACTTAAAATCTACAAGGACTTTTGCTATATCCCAGTATGTATATTTTTATCTCCGAGCTGACATTAGAGATCAAATTAATGTTATGACATTTTCTGTGTACATAGAGAATGGATACTAATTGCTTTTGACTAATTTAAAGCCCTCCATCTTAACTTTAAATTTCATTAGTTCTCTCCTTTGTTTTTATAAGTCAAGTAAGCTTTTAGTTTTTGGTTGTCACATTATATTGTTTGATTTAGAAAGCTGTAAACACATGTGTTGATAAAGAAAAATAGATCAGATCAGATTTAAGATAAATTATTTTGAGGTGGGTGCAATGGCTTACATCTATAATCCCAGCACCTTGGGAGGCTGAGGCAAGAGGATCAATTGAGTCCAAAAATTTGAGTCCAGGCTGGATAACATAGCAAGACCCCCATCTTTACAAAAGATTTTTAAAAATTACCTGGATATGGTGGCATGTGCCTCTAGTCCCAGCTACTTGGGAAGCTGAGGCAGGCGGATCACTTGAGTCTCAAAGGTGGAGGCTGCAGTGAGTTGTGATCGTGCCACTGCACTTCAGCCTGGGCAACAGAATGAGACCCTGTCTGAAAAACTAAATAAATAAATTATTTCTTTTGGGGACTATGAATACACTGATGCAGAACTCTGTGCTACTTGTTTTATTCTGCATTATAGTTTTCTTCTCCTTTAAAACACTGTACATTAAGTCGTTAGTAAGAGCTCAGTTCTTGCTTTATGCTTAATTACCCACTATCTCATTCCCTAGTACATACACTTGAGACTGTTACTGGGGAGCTCTTAATGCCTAACTGCCAGGAGAAATTGACTGGGGTTCTTTTTCTCTTTTCTTCCCAGGAGCAAGTAGGCTCTATTAAGGAGAGATATGACCACAGGCTCATGTTGAAACATCTCCCTCCAGAATTCAGCATCTTTCTAGACCATATTTCCTCTTTGGATTATTTTACAAAACCAGACTACCAGGTAACACCTTTGTGAGTTTTGTGGGTTAGTGATTTTCTCTCTTAGTCTCTGCTTTCACTTACTGTAGCTTAGAAGGTGTTATAAGTGAGTGGGGGAGGTCCTTAGAATAAGACTGTTTTAATACATTCTGAGAAACATGGTGAAATTAACTTATAATAAGAGTATCAGTGTGTTCATTATGTGTTTCATCCCTCTGGATGGACTTCACTTCATTAGAGTTTTAGGTTTGTTCATCTTGTAACAGATGGTCATCTTGTAACTATTCCTGTGTGATTCATTTGGTGTATAGAACTGCTGACAGTTGAAATTATATAAATTCTATAGCTAATTTGTTGACCAGATGGAAATGTCCAACTAGGTAATGTATCTGTCAGGGGCTTTAGGGCAGCATATCATATGTTAATGTGCTATGGGACAGTGGTCAGTGAAAACTGGCTCCGTTTTGTCTGTGGTCACTGAGTCATTTCCTTAGAGCATCAGTTAATGACGCCTTAGTAGGGTCTACTAGGTTTACTACAAATTGCATCCATAACCCCAGCCAGCAGTATTTCAGAAGATTCTGTTGCTCTCAGGGAGAACTTGGTCAGGACTTAATACAAAATAATTGTTATCACTGAAAACATAAATGCAGCCACACATAGATTAATAATAATATGTATTAGTATATCATTCTTATTTACAAAGGACAACAGATAGACTTCACTGCATGTTAATGGAAGTTAAATTTTAAAGTGTTGTCAGTGTTATCCAGTCAAAAGACTAAGAAGTATCTATAGCACGGTGAATGTATTTGCATATTGTAATTATTTCTGAAATTGCTGCTTTTATATAAGATATAAGTAGGATATAAAACAAACAGGTAATATACAAACTTAGAGTCCTTAGAGACCTGAAATGGGTGAGCTTGTCTTCTCCATGCATATGCCAATTTGTATTGTAAACAATAGGGACTGTCTAACAAATTGAGAAAATACACTGTGTGTGAGTTGTTTTGGAATGTGTTTACATTTACCTTTTGTATGTATTTTCTGAAATGTATAGAGTTTACATTACTTAAAACAATGAAATTACACCTGTAAGACCAGATTCAAAAGGAGGTGAAAAATGTTCTAACTTTCCCATATTGAGTGCTAATAATTTTTTATTGACAAAATTTGCTTAGGAGGATTTAGGACAGTAAAAAACTTGGATCACATTCTCTTCTTAGTTAAACCTATATCTGAAGAAGACTATCATATTTACCAGCTAAAGTTTGAAACTTAGATCTATGAATTATTTTAAATTAACAAGTTATTTTTCTCAAGTTTTTCATTTGATCATTCTCTTAGGGGCTTTTCTATCACTTAATAACAAAACGAAGTATGGTAATTTTCCATTTTTGGAAGAAAGAAAACAGGCATAACATTTACTTTGTTTCACAGATTCTGTAAATAATCCAGCTCTTTCCTGCTCTGATCTTTCATAAGCAGTGAGTGGGAACAGAGGGCAGGTGGACAGGAGAAGGATAATTGAAAAAAGATATTGATGTAAGTGATGGGTGTGTTCTAATGACTAGTATCAATGTGATGTCAGGTTTCAAAAAGGTCTGAGCTTTGCAGCTTCTTCCTCTTGTTTCTCTGCTTAGTTGTCATCTTGAGAAAAATTACTCTACTTTTAATCTGAATATTCTTGTGAACTAATGCTGTCCCTGTGATTAATTTTACAGTTTGAGATTCATTCCTGAATTTGATCTTACTTACTGTTCTATAAAGATTCATTTTCTTTATTTAAAAAAACTTTGAGACAGGGTCTTACTCTGTCAGCAAGGCTGGAGTGCAGTTGGTGCAATCATGGCTCACTGCAGCCTCAACCTTCAAGACTCAAATAATTTTCCCACTTTAGCCTCCTGCATAGCTTGGCTACAAGTGTGCACCATGCCTGGCTTTATTTTTATTTTTATTTTTAGCAGAGATGAGGTCTCCTTATGTTGCCCAAGTGGATCTGGAACTCCTGGCTTCCAGGAAGTCCTTCTGCCTTGGCCTCCCAACGTGCTGAGATAACAGGCATGAAGCCACCCTGCCTGATCTTTTCTTTCAAAATTTTAGATTTCCATGGGACAACCAGTAAAGTCAAAAACAACAATAAACCTCCTCCAGCAATAAGCAAAAAGCATATCTATATTTACTATGACTGCTTCCCTAGCTACATCAGAGGTCAAATAGCAGTGATACGTTTCCAACTTTGTCTATTCTGAGCTAAGTCCAAAGTAAATTTTTTGTTAAAGTGTTAAATGATCCAGTTTTTACAGAGCCACTTTCACTTTGTGTATATTTTACAAATCTTTAAAAATTAGAATATCTTCAGCTGGGCGCGGTGGCTTACAACTGTAATCCCAGCCCTTTGGGAAGCTGAGGCAGGCTGATCACGAGGTCAAGAGATTGAGACCATCCTGGCCAACGTGGTGAAACCCTGTCTCTACTAAAAATACAAATATTAGCTGGTCATGGTAGCACGTGCCTGTAGTCCCAGCTACTCAGGAGGCTGAGGCAGGAGAATCACTTGGACCCAGGAGGCAGGCATTGCAGTCAGCCAAGATTGCACTCCTGCACTCCAACCTGGCGACAGAGCAAGACTCTGTCTCAAAAACATAAAATAAAATTAGAATATCTTGCCGTAGGACATTATTGCTTTAACACATTGCACATGGCCAACATTTCATCCAGTAATCTGCTACTGTTCACTCTGACATCAGGTGTGGACCTAGAGAGAATAGCTATTTTGTTTTCTACCAGTAATTTTTTTTAATGTGTCTCTCACAATAAAGGCTGAAATTTGCTTTTGAGAAGTATTATATTGTTTTGGGAAATTACATCAGCTTTATCTGTACTTAGTTTTTATATATGAGTCTGTTTTCCTAACTAACTTTTAAATCTGGGAGAAACAACCATGTCTTATTTTTTTTAACCCCATATTATAACTGGGACTGTGCCTGGCACCTGGCACCTAAATTTTCAACAAATCTTAGGTAAATTTAATTGAGTCTTACTTTGGACCAACAGTCTCCTACACAGAGAATGCAAGAAAACTCAACTCTGTAAGTGCATAAATACTGTATTCTGTCTGTAAAAGTTGAAGATACCACAATTATAAACAAGATTAAAGCAGATATGTTTCTATAAATATTGTTTCTATCAGATTCTGAATATTGTAACAACTATAAGGGACAGAGTGGGCCAAACACAGTGGTTTATGCTTGTAATTTTAGCACTTTGGGAGATTGAGGCAGGAGTATCACTTGAGGCCAGGAGTTTGAGATCAGCCTGGGCAACTTAGTAAGACCCAGTCTCTACAAAAACACAAAACAACAACAACAAACAAAAAAATTACCCAGGTGTGGTGGCACACACCTGTATTCCTGGCTACTTGGGAGGCTGAGATGGGAGAGTTGCTTGAGTGAATCAAGGCTGCAGTGAGCCATAATTGTGCCGCTGTACTCCAGCCTGAGTGACAGAGAGACTCCATCTCGATGGTAATAATAATAATAATAATAGGATCACATGATTGTGATAAGAACACAAATATCTTATTAGAGTGTTCAAATTATGTTAGGCATCACTTATCAAGTTGAGAAGACTTATGAAATCCATAAATATACACACCGATGGTGAGCCTGAAACTGAAAAATGTGTATCAACTAGTTCACGCACTGCAACAGCGTTGCTGATATTAGAGAATAGGATAGGAAGGAAATGCAAAGCTGAGCAAGCTTCATTAATCTTCTTAATACACTTTCCAGTGGGACTATTTAAATGTAGATTACATCAAAATGCAGTAAATTTGCCTCTTGCTTTTGGGGACATAGAACAATTGTAGGATCCTCTGATTCTGATAACATCTGAATTAAAATTTTCAGAGGGCATAGATGCTACTTGTGAGGCAAATAAGAAAGAGTTGAGCTGAAAACAAGGGGGAATCTATCAAATAGTGTGGTCAAGGAAGGTCTCTCTAAAGCTACTATGTAAGGCCCAGGGATATCCAATATTTTGTTTTCCCTGGGCCACATTGGAAGAATTGTCTTGTGCTACACATAAAATACTTTAGCACTAATGATTGCTGATGAGCCAAAAAACAAAAAACAAACAAACAAACAAACAAAACTCATATTTTAAGAAAGTTTACAAATTTGTGTTGGACCACATTCAAAGCCATCCTGGGATCAGGTTAAAGAAGCTTGATTGTAACCCAGCCCCCAAAAGATGGGATTGTGTTGGCCATGTGAAGAGCAAAAATAAGAGGTAGAATGTTACAAGCTGATAGAATAACAAGTAACTGCATGGGCCTTAATGGGAGAAAGGACTGAAAGAAGACGAGTATGGTCAGACATAGTAAATAAGGAGACAGAACAGGTTGAGGTGAGATTGGAAAGAGTCAGAGAACAGATTATGCAGGGCCTTGTAGGCCTTTTTAAGGAGTTTGGATTTTTATTCTAAGTACAACACAAAGCCTTGGAAGTGTTATAAACAGGAGCATGGTCATCCAATTTGTGCCATAAGAGGATTACTTTTGCAGTTGTTTGCATTCAGATGAAACAAAGGAGAATCAGAGACTAGTTGGGAAGGTGCTGAGATAATCTAAGCTGTGCCTTGGAAAGAAATAATATTTTTTAAACCAGTGCCCCACCACATTTTTTTTTTTGAGATAGAGTCTTGCTCTGTTGCCCAGGCTAGAGTGCAGTGGCATGATCTCAGCTCACTGCAGCATCCACCTCCTGGGTTCAAGTGATTCTCTGCCTCAGCCTCCCAAGTAGCTGGGACCACAGGTATGTGCCACCACACCCAGCTAATTTTTATATTTTTTGTAGAGGATTTCACCATGTTGGCCAGGCTGGTCTCAAACTCATAGCTTCAAGTGACCTACCCATCTTGGCCTTCTAAAGTGTTGGGATTACAGGCACGAGCCACCATGCCTGGCCTAAAATCAGTGTTTTAACACCATAAAGGTTTAATTTTTGATCAAATAAT